CAATTGGGACTGATACCGTCATATACCGTATACCACGGTATGATGTCAGCAAGGTATGACGGTATGAAAAAAATTATACCGCCCATGCCTACTGTACCACACACACCTACACACTGTACCACACACGCCTACACTGTACCACACACACCTAAAACAGGCTACAGGTCTACACACACACACACACACACACACAATATTGCTACCTAATATTATTATTACTACTAAGGCTGCTCCTTTTAAGTTCCATTCCATTAACAATAAATCTGTATGAAACTATGTGCAACATATCCTTTCACTGCTGTACTCTACCTGCTACCACACTTCCCTCACTACCAATCTACCTGAATGTGTACCGTACTTCTGTAATTGTTATAATGTTTATTTGAAATACTATGTGCATGCATTTGATCTAATAGTGTTCCATTGGTTTTCATCTCTATGTAGACTTTGATTGTTGTAACAATGTAGATGTTCCCTCTGTTGGACGAACAAAGGAAGTGTGACTGAGAACAGAGCGGGACCGACCTGCTGCTCCAGCGTCATGACGGTGTGCACTCTGAAGTTCCCGCTCTCACAGGGGTCTGTGATGCCCACCGAGCCGGGCAGGAAGAGCCCTGCGGCGAGCATCTGCAGGCAGCGCCTTCAACACACAGTTACACACATCAAAACAAGGCTCATCTATACTGAGAGATTACAAAGAGGAGGTGGGGGGGGTCCAACCTGTAGGCCACGTTCAGAGAGAGGGGCTGCCGGGACGGGTTGTTCATCACTGCAGAGTGACCCTGCAACAGAGGACAGATCAGCACGGTGACATCACTACAACACCTGCCATCAACACCAGAGTGGAGCAGGGAGGAACATTTCGGATTCTTCTATTGGATTTCAAATATTGAAAGAATAAGATCTATGGAAAATAGGTTTAAGATAACAGCATGGTTTGTTCTGCAGGGTAACCTCCACATATCTATGATTTGAGGCGTAAATGCAATAGCCACAAGTAAATGTTGCTATTTCAGGAACTCCAGCACAGTCACATGACTTCACATCACCAGTGCTAAGCTAAAGGTGGCTAATGTTGGGTTGATGACGTTAAGTGGTCTCATTAGGCGCTTTCACACCGGAGTAGTTTTCCCAGTAATAGTTCCGATAGTTCCTGGGATTTTGCATTCACACCAAAAAGATCTGGAACTAGAACTTTGTTTTGCGAACCTTTTCACCCCTTTTTAGCAACCTTTGTTGCTAGAGAGCAGGGACTTTCCTGGGGAGAAAAAGGTTCCAATTTCTGATTGGCTGGGCGAATTGTAAACCACGCCCCGAAAAACTCGGAAACATTTTGTGAAGCCGCCATTGTATTTGCTGGCATTAGCATTATTAGCATTAGCCCAGCGCACCAAGAGAGAGACTAACTTATGGCAACACAAAAGAAAACATGGGAGCGGTGGAGATGAGGAGGTGTCGGCGTTCTGGCCGTTTACTCGGAAGGCTTCAGTAGAAGCTGCTGGGAGTCCCAGCAGCTTCTACTGAAGCCAGTCCCCAACTCCGGGGACATCCGGCCGGGGATTGTGGGTGGCAGTATACGCCGTGAAGTTGTTTGCGGCCTGCCAGTAAACCCAAAGCAGAAGAAGAAGAAGAAGAAGTGACGTCAGCGGCTTCATTTGCCTAATCCTCCCCCGGGGACTTATTCCAGTGTGATCTGCTCTTTAGTTCCGGGAACTAAAGAGTTCTGATGAACTAAGAACTGGGAACTAAGTACGGCAAAGTACTTGGTGTGAAAGCGCAAATGTAGTCACTTTAAGACTCATTATAGCTTCAAACATTCACCA